GCTGCTCTTTGCTTCTTCAGCGCGCTCGTAACGCTTCTGGTGTCGGAAAAACGAGATGCACAAATCCCCTCTCCTCGGCGGTATAGAGTTCCTTTTTTACTTTCTTACTGAATCGTAATTTTCCGTAATTTGGACTTTGTCTTAAAATATATATACTTACGTACACGAGACAACGTACACAAAAAACACTAGGACACTTTTCTTCCTATTTTTTAAGACTGAATCGATTGGGACTAAAAAGACGTCGATCGGTTCAGCCATTGCTGATATATGAATATCTCACCTCGTTTCAACTCGCAGTTTCGCGTAAATATAAATAATAATATAATAATAGGCACGGTGTGCCTCGCGCTGTTCGGGCACAACTTCGTTGCGCTTGAACTTGGCGCGTGGCACTACCGTGCCTCTTGATAATCTGAAAATTGTCAATAGCTAAAACAATATGTTAATGCTCGAGTTTTCCCTATCACTGCGCACTGTTATCAATGTTTGAAGGATGAACAACATAGAATAAACATGGTACGATAGCGAACAGGAATATCGTGATTACGTAGGAGAATTACTTAGCGTTTTGCTAATCGCTAATCGCTTCGCTTCGTATTGCACCTGAAGTATCACTGTATATCGAATTGTGCTGAACAACTGCTGTCGATAAAATTTCTACACTTGACCACGTTGATAGCTGTTATCAATCTTTTATATTACTAGAACACTACAAGCGCGCGCTACGCGCGCGCCATTTTAGCTTATTCATATTAAAGTTCAGAATAAATATTATAAATCAAAAATAATCACTGGAGTATAATATAAGTTCGATAATATTCGACTCCAACATACGATGTATTAGGCGCATACAGTTTGAAATTCCATGACACATATTTTCTGGATAGTAACGCGTAACCATATAACCAATGAAAATTTCGACGTTCAACATTTCTATTCAAGCCCATCTTAAGCTCTATCTCTTCCCCCCTTAATCTCTCTCTTTCCCTCTCTGTCTTTCTCAGTCTCTCTCTCTCTCTCTCTCTCTCTCTCTCTCTCTCTCTCTCTCTCTCTCTCTCTCTCTCTCTCTCTCTCTCTCTCTCTCTCTCACACACACGCACACACACACACTTTCTCTTTCTTACACACTCTTTCTCACACAAGCTCTCTTTCACACAAAAATAATAAGAATGATTAAAAAAATAATTAAAAATAATTTTAAAAATAAAGCACTATAAAGCACTATACTGTAGTCACTCACTATACTGTAGTCACTATACTGTAGTCATTGACATTTTTTCTTGTGTCTGATCCTTTTTAATTCTTCTCGCATTCTGTTCTTTTTCTCCTTCTTTCCCTCTTCTCTTCTTCCTTTCTCTGTTATGTTTTAACTGTAAAAAGTAAAAACGACACAAAGCATACAAATTCTTTATATATTTTTTATGTGTATTCAACGATATTGTTACTTATCTGATATTATCCTTGTTTCCTCCGAAGCTTTTCTCTACAGAATTATCACGACAAATACACTTCACAATTTATAAACAATTTATAAAACCTATATAACCTGATATAACCACGTTATTACTCCTTTCGTACAAACTGTCGCTCGGCGGCCATTCGTCGCGATGACAGCCGCAAACGGCACGAAGCCGGCCGCAACGCGACGTCGTCGAGACGACCAATCAGCATCGCGGAAAAGAGGCTTCAACATTTCAAGATATTCGAGAGATTTCGACTTTCGATTGATACGCACTTTTTTGAAGAGGACTGACACATTTTGCAGTTTCCTTTTTTTCTTTTAGCACTTTAAAATTGCATAAGATATCGAGAAGCAAAGAGCCCTGACCTTTTCACCTCAAAATTTCCGGCCTGTAGTGTCAATCGTGAACTACGAAGTACGGTTACGTTAATCCTCGATTAAATTTTATCGTTATATATATGTACGTCAACGGCGAGGAAAAAGAGAGGGAGAGAGAAAGAGAGGGACAGAGAAGGGGAATATTATGAATATTTATGACATTTCACCGGTGTGACTTAGCTTCAGAATCATTAATAATTGCCAGCGTTAAGTAATACTAACATTAAATTAATTATGCGGACATTTCGCGAGAAAGCTTCAAGATTTACTTAAACGCTTAACATTAGGATGTCAGAGAATGCTCTGCATATATTTATATTCGCTAATTTATGCTCGTTAATTTATTATTATCATACCGACCATCGAGCATCATCAGGAAATTTACGTATCAGATACAATGTTTAAGTCAGTTAATTAAACTCGATATAAAATATGTTTGATCACACGGAATGACTCTTTATAAAGCAACATAATCAAGAAAGTTTCGAATTTTTTTAAGTTTCTTTAAGTCCCTGTTTTATAATGAGAGCCTTGCTTGCAAAATGCGTTCACTTCAAATTGTGAAAGACCTGTCGATAAAAAAATATTTTGCAGATATGCGGAATCCGCAAGGTATAACAGTACGTTAAAATTGGATTGACACTTGACAGATATATTTCATATATTTGATGAAAATATAACTAAATAAAAGTTTCATATCTATTTCTAAATCATATCGTATAGGTCACCAATAAACTAGACGTATGATGGCATTTGCATATGGCGAATAAAAAATAGAACATATAGAAAAAGAAAATTGCGAAAAAAATTTTTGACGCCCCAAATAAAATACATCATAACGTATACTTATGCATACGTTGTTTCATAAATTTCGCACTATTTACTACATGCATATATATTTCATGGAAATTTTTAAGCGTATACCACGGCAGTCGAAGCGTAAATTCCTCGACGAAAAATATCAAATAACGTATTTGTACAAAATAAAATTATTACACAAAATACCCTCAATACACAGAATAATTTATGTTTTCACGTTATTATTATCCCACTCTTTTCCATTTTTACACCTTTCCTACCTTTAACCTTGCTTCAAGACATAAGCAATAAAATATTAATCAATCATAGTTGTTTATTCATGAACTGTAAGCAAAATAATCGGCAGACTGTAATTGGTCAAATCGCTATTGCTTATGTCTTAACTCCACAGTGCAAGGACACGTATCCCGTTTATATTTCTTTCATTTTACGATTATATTTCATAGAATTCAACAATTTTAATGATTCTTGTTTGCTTATCCACTATTTGAATACTTAATTATGATAAATATTCATTGATTTCATCAATATTGTTTATATTTTCTTTGTCAAATAAGTTAAGACGAAGAAAAACGTTTTTTAGAATAAGTTCGTTTCTGAAATGAAATTCCGTATAAACTGTTTTTTCACCTAAATTTATGTTTTTGAGATCGCTGATTACTAATCCGCTCATCCATCAGATTTGGGTAGAATAAAGTATCTTTTTGTTATAAACAAAATATTAAAGCTAAATTTCGAAAATTTGTAGAACTGCGCTTAAAAGTTAATATTCTAAGTATTGTTTTTTTACAAAGAAGCAGTTTTCTATATTATATTTATCATTTTGAAGTCGTTGATTAAATCCTTTGATAAATTTTTATTATATTAGTATTTTTCATGATATAAACAAAATATTGAAGAAAAACATAAAAATTGTGAAATAGCGTTGGAATTCGATAATCTTCAACATTTTTCTCTTTACATTCATTGTCTTGAATTCGTTACATATGTACAGATAGTTCGAAAATTTGTCGAATATCTTGCTATAAATAATTTATTTATTATTATTCCGACAAATGATGATCTTTCTTTGCAAAGAAAGCGACACATAATTCTATTATATAAATTTGAATAAATTAAGATAAATTAAGATTAATTTGCTAAACACGAATTTGCTATTAGAATTAACCTAGGAATTCAATTTTCTCAGTGAAATAAGTATTTATATTTATTCCTAATTAACAATCTGTATATAGTAAGCGTCATATTTTTTGGAAATATATGCTCATTTCACACATAATTTTTATAACGATTGTGTTACAATATGAATCTGACATTGACCCATCAACATTGGCAATTTTATTTCCGTATATATTTAGTATATTTGTACAGATTCGTCAACTAAATATTCTTTCAAGCCGCCATATTGCGTCTTCCATCTTGAATCGCACTTTTTTGAAATTCTGATGGCAGATTCGAACTCAACGACCCTAAAAACGTATAGAATCATTCAGAATTTTGTGAGAATTCGATTACTCACTTAATTGCGTGACTCAAAAGATTAGTAAAACAAAGTTTTCGAGCCAAAGTCACTCTTATACTACTGATCCACTATTCATTATCACTTACTACTTATTCATTGCTGCCATCATCATTTTCTCGCGCAATATGTCGCATCTCTCCATAAAACTGCCTCTGAGACATCCCGTGGTGTCTTAGGCTTCTTGATCTTCGCGACTTCATGTAATATGCATACATACGTCGGCTCGCGCTATAACGCGAGAGAGCAACAAGTTCGACCACAATCGAGCGCCGCCGCGTGATTCTCCCTCAACAGGACACACGTGTTATGTAAGCGCGTCTCCGGCCGCTCGCGGTCCCGTCGGATTACCGTGAAATTTTTATTATTCCATACGTCGAATAAAAAATGCGCGTCGCATCGCCCGTCGTCCCGTCGTCGCTCGGAAAAGCTGCCGCGCGGGTGAAAGGACGAGAGCGAGAATTACGCATCGCCGACGTATGATTTCTCCGGCGCCCCATGGAACGCGCATGCCGCTTGGAACGGCGCGTATTTAAGGGCTGATCTCCGCCTGCTCTCGCCACTGTCACACGGTATCTCCAGGCATTCTCTCGGTTACTGCTACCCCTCGCTCCTTCTCTCTCTCTCTCTCTCTCTCTCTCTGCCTCTCTCCTTCTCTTTTCACCACCCTCTTCGTTCCTGTTCCCTGAAAGTCGTCCTCTCGCGCACTATCTACGCGCTATCGCGCCCGCCAATTCCGCTTCCGAGACAGACGAGCGATTTCACCCCGTCATACAGCCACACCGGCTGTTTACTCGCTGTCCGGTCGAGCCAGCCGTTGGCCACTCGCGGGTCTTCGGGATCGTGCGAAAGTAGAGTTCTCCTCAACTTCTGCCGTGAGGACAAGGTGCCTCTGCTGGGGGTGCGCGACGCAAAGCTGCGAATTCTCACTCGTCCTGCAACGTCGTCGCCTCGAACTCGCCGCGGCGAACTCCACCGTTGTAGTCGCACTTTCGCCAGGTTGGTACATCATGTTGCGTTTAAGCAACTTTGAGCCGCGTGACATTTTTTGTGATCGTTGGACTCTTCAGTTATTAATTTTACGTTCGTCTGACGAAGAAGCGATTGATAAGTTCACCATCACCATTCAACTACGACCAATCTCGAGTCAATTTTAAGTTAAGTTTTATTTTATGTTAAATTTCATTTTATATAGTAAGATTTTTCGAAAATACTTTCTAATATAATCTGCAATCGAATAAATTGAGACCGTCGTTTCCTTGTATGTTTGACGCGAATGAATAATTTACGGGGAGTTTATTCATGTAAAACTCCATGTGGAAAATACGAAATCAGTGACAACAAGATTAATCTGTCCGTGTCTTCGTGTCTCCATTAGCGGAAATTTTGTAAACAATCGTATACAATTTTAGAGTGTGGTAAAGTTAATAATTTTCAGATTCATACGAAAGTATGACATGTAAAATTTTTATTTTTACCTCCTCTCTTATACTCCGAGAGAAAGAAGAAAGATCAAAATACTTCTCAATATAGAATCGAAATAGGTCTATGAAAAAAATATAAAGTCAATGGAAGCCAAAACGCATTGAAATGGTTTTAAAGCAATCGAGTCGACGCGTAATCCGTTTTGCCGGTGCTTTTTCAGCAATTGCATTCGATCACGGCTTGCGCGCCAAATATCCGCTCGTACTTTTTATTACATTGAACGCGTTATAGAGCCGAAGAGCAATATCTTCGGTGATAAAACTCTCGAATAAACGAAGCATCACGCAATACGTCTGCGCTAATATCGAATATATCGAATATTTCTCCTTAATTTCCTTTCGAGATTTTAAGCTGGCGCATGAGAAACGGTCGGTTATGAATCGAAATTCCAACGCAATATCTCGCTGTCTGCTGCAAAGTGTTCTCTGTTGCTTATTAATGTCAAGATCTTTGACATTTTCCTGTGGTACTCTTGTCGAGTGTTAACGGATTTGTGTCAGGACGATGACACAAATCGTGTGCGAAAGCTATTAAAAAGCTTGTGCACTTTATGTACAAATCAAACATTCGATGTGTGCATTTTATATCACGGCATTTACACAAATTTACGCAAATCGGCTTATATACGTGCGCACAACGTTCTTAGATAATCCCTTACGATCTCTCATATGAAATCCGGGATTCTCACTTTTATTTCAAAATTGTAGACTCCCTTTGAACAATCGAACATAGAAGCTGCACGATTTATTTCCGAAATTAAGAAGATCTCTTTAGAGAAGCACGAATGAATAATAATGCATCTAAATTTATCGCAAAGTCACTTGGGAGCTTAATTTGAAACTTGGGTTTTTGGATATCGAACGATATATATGGTATAAAATGGTCGCGATGAGTAACTGTCTCCTTGAACATTTTTACCGAGAGAACATTAAGCCCAAATCTGATTAGACAACGTTAATTTTGCACCGGGTCTGCGACACTTTGAATTTTCTTTTCACATCGTTAGTACAAAAAACGCACGACTGATGATCTAATTTTTCAGGGAATCAATTTCAAAGTTTGACATTTTGAGCCTTTATTCGAATAAAATATTACACGGTGAAATTGATCGTGCCATTATATAGTGGCGTGAAACCCAATATATGCGTCAAAGTTTAAGGGGGTGTCGAACTTTGAAATTGATATTTTACCGAATTAAGTAACTACTACGCATGTGACACATGTATGCACTGTAACCGACTGTATCGACTTGTGTAATCAGTTTAATATATAATACATACACACCCTGTATATGCAGTACATCGCAAATAATCCGCGAGTACACATATTTGCTAACGTTATTACGACCTCGTACTTTCGGAAGTTGCTGTAGCTCTATAAATTTATGCTCGTACGTCAACGCGTATTTTATCTAACACAATGCTTACTAAGTAAAGCGAGCAAAATACGATTTAATTATTTAGTGCAGAAATACCATATATTTTCTCTGCGCTTCACGTTAAGTCACTTCAAACGGTACCCTTTCCCTTTCTAAATAAATCGTGCAACAAACATATGCGAGCAATAAGTGTTTCGTAACACGAGCGGTTCGAGTATGCCAGAGTCGTATCAGGACTCTTCTACCGTATGTTGATTTAATCATATTATAGTGATCATATTGTGATATTTCACATACTTGATCTGTACGAGAGAGATTTAGCAGTTTCAAATATTTCGTAATTTCCGTCAGGCTTCGATGATAACGTAGTTCGTGATATTGTGATTGTGCGACGCATAGAATCTAGACAAAAGTTGAAAGTCATAGCGAGACGTTACGAAACAATACGCACGCACGTACATTCACGCTCACGTGAGGCGAGGTGATCTTTTCATCAAGGTGTGTTCCTTTCATACATTTTTGCGTATCGCCGAAGGACGGGTCGACGATATATAAGGGTACAGATCCCATTCAGACGCGATTTCGTTTGAATACATATACCTGCTGGTCTCAAACGATATTATATCGTTTCACCTCTTCCCAGAGTCCGCGACCGCACGGCCATTTGCGCCTGTCCTGGCCGTATGTTACAAGGAATTCCGAATCGCACGATATCTTATGAAGAGCAGCTTTCACATTTTCGTCTTGGTTCCCGTTCTTGCGAAACGAGATTTCGCTTTTATTAGATCAAATTTTCCTGAGAACCTCACGCTTTGCTTTCCGAAGTCTCTCGCGTCTTACAATATGCGTGATATGACGTCGAATAACACCTGTTACACCTAAGTGTATAACTTTTCACTGTTATAATATACAAACGCATACGCACACATAACGGGATATATATTACATTTATATTGCGTATAAAATATGATTTTTCGTACGATCGTGCGTACGATCGATTCTCGACGAAACACCGCTGCCTCGGCGCTTGATTGTCTTGACATATGAAACAGTTACGCCTAGGATTAATAAACCGCGGTGCCGTGCATTAGTTTCAGACTGCGTAGGTTATCGCGCGCGATCAATCTAACATACATGCGGTAATACGGTAACTCCCAAGCGCTGCAAGTTTAATTGCAAGTGTCGTTATGCATAGTAAACTCGCGTGTAACGCGCTTCGTATCGACATCCAAATCGTTCGCGAACATCTTACCACACATAAATGACACAAATTGCATCTAAACCGGTCGGCGAAACTGGTAACGCCCGTGCGACTATTTGATGCGCCTGTTTGGGACTATTTCACGTTATCACGATCGTGTACTAAAGCCCTTGGAAACTAACTTGGGAACTAACTTGAAACTGAGTATTGTGTCGTAGCCGAGAAACGACGAGATAGATTTCTGGGGCTCGTTCATTGTTCGCAATTTATTGCCGATGGATGGGAGAGAAGGCCTGTATCGACGGTTACATACATAAATAGACAATAGTGAACGCTCTACGATCGGCAACGGACACGCCCGATTGTCTCCCTGCTGCCAAATCTCGACATATCGGTCACTCTAATCAAACAATTGAATTGTAATTCACTGAGAAAGCGGGAAGCGAACCGGTGAGAGGGCACATTCAAATGATGAAGGAAAAGAATATTGAAAACAAAAAGTTCACATAGCTGCGTTTGAAAAGAGATTACACACGTCCTAAAATTTTTCGCTCTCACCGTATCTCACATTCGTGTTTGCGCATAATGAAAAGGGAAGAAGAAAAAGAGAGATGGGACCTTTCGTCTCATCTTTCGGCTTCCGCGATATTAATATTTCATCGTACCTTCGCAAATAGTTACGCAAGTCCGATTTACGTGACCTGCATTATTCCGAGATATCAGGACGGCTCAGACACGTCAGTACTTTCAGAATATATATGTTTATGCATATAAATAACATTACGTGTATTAACAATTCAAAAGATATTGACGTACAACGATACGATTCATATCGATGTATGTATTCCGTTCAAGAACCTTATTTCTCTCGTACATTTCAAAGTATATATTTCTTTCATTGTCTTCGCAGCACGTCTCACGTTCTTCCGTGAGTCAAATATGAGTCAAAAAAAAACAAAAAAACAATAACTTGACGTCTCTCTAACGAAGTGCAAAACGGTATACACATTAAAACGACCTTGGACATGCATCGAAGGAGTGCAAAAGTTATAATGGATTTCGTAACAGAAAAGTGGGTTAAATTAAATTCTATTAAAAATTATTTATTCATCCCACCAAGTAGTCGCCACATTTTCTCTATCGTTTATGTATGTATAGGTATGTATTACATATATACATTTATATATCTGCTGCCATATAAAACTGTATTAGTCACGACTCATCAATTTTTGTAAAACTCATCAAAACTTTTGCATTCATTCGATAAAACAGTTTCTACAACTTTACAGCTTGAAACTCATAACACCGAACTTCCATCATTTTCCCACGTTGCACGTGTCTTCGTAGGCAGCATTATTGTAAAAGTACTTGTAAAAGTGCGATCAGAGCTCATCATTGTCCCGGCATCGACATGCGTCCACTCCTCTTTAATCGCTCTTAAGAATACCATCGTTGATTGTCTGCTTGTATCAAAAGTTCCATCATTATAGCTTCGACCATCGTCTCTTTTCCTTAAGCTTCTTCGATATACTGATACGTACCATATATCTCCTCCCTCCCCTCCCCCCCTCTCTCTCTCTCTCTCTCTCTTTCTCTTTCTCTTTCGTCCATTCTTATGTATACAGTTATTTTTATCATCGGCCTGTTGGTTTGCAGGAACGTGTCGCGAGAGTGCGGTATGGACAATAATTACACGTATCGGCGCGAAACGTATGAAAACGCACGTTTTTAGTATCGAGCCGTATTACCTGTTCGGCGCATCGCCAATATTTACATACGCGCGTTCGCAGTTGATAATAAGTAAACACAAACAACGACTCGAGTCGATCGTCACTCCGACCTACCGCGTTTCGATTTTGACGTATTGTCGAAAGACACACCTGGGCGAATATCCGACGCGATGAGAAATCGATCAGTTCTTCGTTCGTTCGTGCGAATTACGACACGGTGCATCTTTTGTTTTCATATTTCCGGTAGTCGAGTTAACGAGTCATTTAAATTCAATCGAAATCCTCACTCGACTCGCACCTACCGCCGTCGCATTATAATCTCGTCGGACGTCTCAAGCGACTCGGAACTAAGGTGAAGTTTACCCCCGCGATGTTATCACACATATCGGCCACGTAACATGTATATGTCCGCGCGTAACACGTATAGTATATTCGAGACACGATTGCTCAGCCCATCAGCCGAGCATCGCCGCATCAGCAGCAACAGGTTGCTTATTTGCCCCAATCCGTGTACTGCAATTGTATACATAGCCACGCAGTTCTGCGAGATCATGTAGCAAAATATCACTCGGTGCTTACATGCATCTTTCAGCAACTTCGAATGGGATCGGCAGACTTGCCGATGTATAATTCGCTCCGTACGATTCAACTGTGACGCTCGCTCGATGCGCTCCACAGAGGATTTCAATTCTCTTACGAGCAATCAGGACTGCACTGAATAGATTATACGTATTATACAGCTAAGCTTCCCTTCCGCTCTCCCTCCTCTTTCTCCCTTTTTTTCTCCTTCTTATCGCTTCTTTTTACCGCTTGCTGTAATCCATTACTGGATGGACAAACTTGCCACACCGTTTGTCATTGTCGGCTATCTCGAAGTTGACGCGCTTCCTTGACATAGTCGTCCTCCCATCCTTCGCGGTGCCTCTCTTCGAGATCGTCAAGTGCTAAACCTTGTCCTTTCGTCTAATGATATGACTGATTTATTTAACCGCTTGCGATTCCGGACGGGACGCACACGGCTTCCTTTGCGCGCCCTCTGCGAGAATGCGCGAGAATATCAAACTTATTTGTCAAGCTTTTGTTCTCCGGTTCACAGTATAAGTCTCCATTTTACTTGGCATCTCACGTTCGACGAGCATAGAAAATAAAGGCTATCGAATGATCCGATCATAGACACAGAATGTCGAATGGATAACGCGATTTCCTTCACGGAATTCACTTCTCAGGTCGTATTCGTATCAATGAGATTTATTTACTTGATGCGTTTGAAGCCGCCTTTCCTGTAAGGCGAAGCTTTTACGTTTCACGTCTGTCTTTTTGTTTTTCTCCCAGTCAGTTCTCATCGTCTTTTTAATATTCTTCCTCTAGGATCAAACAGTGCATTTCATGCACATATCGCACGGAATTTGCATTGCGATATATAAGCCAACGCGATTCCGGTCGATATGCATTTTCCTGCCGTATCAGAAACACGTACGGAGAAGCCGTGTCGTCTTGCGTAACGTGCAGCGTCTAAAGCAAAATGTTATCGCAACGAAGTACAGAACATTTAGAATAAAGAACGTTGTCATAAGTAAGCCGGAGACAATTGGATTGCGCAACGAGTCAGTTTTGGTCTGAATTTAAAATAATGGATAATTTAACTTTCAAAATAAAAAGTGAATGAACGTAGTCGAGGCTACTCAACAGGTCTGTTCTTTATAGCTGCACTGCTGAACTAGTGTAATAAGTTAGAGTGAAAAAAAATATAGTTGTCTCATTTTAATTTATTGCGCTAGTTCAGCAGTGCAGCTATAAAGAACAAACTCAATATTCGATCAGGCATAAGTGTGTGATGTAGCCGAATGCTAGAATTGCATTACTATCGCTTGTCAACAATCGACGCTGCTCCGATAATTAATCTTAACTTATTCGGGACGATATCGTCAAATAAATTTTACAAATTTTAAAAAGGGCTCACTTGAATATTTCGTTGCACGGATAAGCATCGACGCGCAAATGTGACGCACACCGTTCCAGCAGACCGTGTAATTTGTTCAAGGAAATCAGAGACTTGGAAAGAAATTTAGAGTATACAAGCCAATATTTATGCAGATATTTGCATGCATGCTTCGTAGCATTCGTGTTAATTAACAGTTTAAAGAAATCCGTATAAAGAGACAATATCGCATAACGCAACGTCATCAGCTTTCTTATCCATGATTATAAATATAAATCCATAGACATAAATCCATGATTATAAACATATACACATATTATTTATTAAACAGCGATTCACAATCCAAATGTTTAGACGTGATCCACTGTGAACGCTGCATTTACAATTTAACGTAATAAAAAATTATATATAAGTTATTTTATAATAGTGGTTAACATTGTGGGCACAATTGACATTCGCAAGACAAAGATACTCGATAGGAATTATTTAGAATAATGCCAAAATATGTTTCTTTTGGAATAACAGGCAATAAATAAAGGACTGAACAAAAGAATACCAGATAGTGCGGAAATGTAAAAAAATATATACAATAACATTTACATGAGAAAGTAAATCGAGTTTTCCTTAGCTCTGTTTTTAAATTCGATCCTTGACATCTGAATGTTAATTTGATATGTCAAATGTTTTACGGAAAAACACGGTATCTTTGTAAAGTTACACAACTCACAAATTGGTAGAGAAATGTATTCGTTGATTTAATTGTTATAACGTTGCTCGCATACGACAGTTTGATGTCGCTTACTATCTTATTCGGTAATGAAACAATTCGAAGTAGACCAGCAATTTAAAAATTGCAAAACAGTTCTACGATAAAATAATGACAAGGTATTGCGATTAAAGTGCAATGTTTCTCGACTCCCTATACATTTCTTTTGAGAAACTCTAGGCCGTCTATAGACTATCGACTATCGATGTAGACGTGTATTTTTCCTTACAGCCCAAAAATGATAAGCCCGACGTTGATGGTTCTCGTATCTGTGACGACTATGGCGATTATATCCGGCGAAGCTTTCGCCGCATTGCCTGCTCAGTGCAATCCAGGTTTTCTCGAGGAACTTCCACCTAGACTACGTAAAATCTGTGTCACTATCGCCAGAATATGGGATGCCAATGACATGAATGATTTTGTCGACGACAAAGGTAAATTTGTTTATCCATCATGTCGCTTATTCTTAAAACAGTACGTATGATACGCGGAGAATTTTTTCATTCTGATACATATTATCAAAAGTATTCATTTCAATTATCGATATGAATATATCGGTATGACAATAGAACATTGATTGAAATGAGATAATGATAACAAAATATTATAATAACATTAATATAAATAAGATAGTAATGTAAATTCTCGATGCTTTAGCATTTCTATTAACGTTTCGTTCTATGCGTCGGATTTCTTGACTCTAACATAACATTAACTCGAATATAAATACTTTAATATGGAAATATAGACTCTTGGAACAGTAAATTAGGCTAAATAAGTGATTGCCGTTTACCGTCGATTTAATATACCCTTTCAAGACTGGAAAGATAATTACATAATTATGCTCTAATAACTATATTGCGCGATGCAAATCATGTAAGGCATTGTCTTGCTTGGTTCATTATCAGTTGAAAACGCAATTAAGACATAGCAAAATTTAAAAAATCGCAACTTTTGCTTCAAGTATATCTAAAGTTCAATCCAAGCATGAAAACTCGATGACAATCGTAGTCGCTAAAGTTCGCGCGGTTACATTTGACACGACACACAATGGCACACGTGTGCCGCTACGTTTTCCCATATTGATATTTACATACATAAGCAATGACATGTAAATAATATGATTCTTCCATTTGGTATCGGAAATAATACTTCTGTATTGCGCACGTAATGTCGTTTTTGCAAAGATGGAATAATATTATACATACGAAATCTGCCACATGATATTTCTTTTAGATCTCCTCACAGGTCTTATGTATATGCATGGATGTGTGGTAGCTTGCTTTTTGCGTGAATCGTAATCTATCCGTAGTGTTTTTGCAAAACCGCTCATGAATAAATCTATCATCGGGATCAAAAAGTCGAAGCAGCTCGTATAAATATATGACCCATTTGAATTTATTCAGAATTACAGTCGTTTCTTGCGTTCCGAGAGATAAGATTTTTATGAAACGAGATCAACTAATAAGGAAACATCCTGTACATTGATTTGTGTATATCTTTTTTATATATTGCTTTTACGGTGCGATTATACCGTTAAGCTGACAAACATTCTTTTCTTACTCGATTATTCTTTATATTTTCTTTATATTTTCGAGTCAAGGTTTATGGATTCGGATGATCACGGTAGCTGCATTGAATTGCTTCCAGAATACCGAGACTACTTGCCGCGATATAACAACGGTGTCAAGAGGCAAGACGTCGATCACGTTTTCTTGCGCTTCGGAAAACGACGTTAGAACGGCATCGCCATTCTGCTCTATGTTCTCACAAGCGGCAAACGATCAAGTTTTCTTCAAGTCGTTCGATCGCCTCATCATCGACTCGTAGGACATTTGCCGACTTCCAATGAATCACAATCAGCCGCGTACGCGCCAAAAGAAAGACGATCGCACCGATCTCGCTAACGTTAAACACAGCTTGACCTCTTCTGACGATTATTGCATTTGAACGGCGTTGAGGGATGAAATTGGCTCCCCTTTTAGCGTTAAGTCAGCGTTGAAAGTGAGTATATTTCGTCAAGTTTGTATTTCAAGCGTACGTCACGTTAATTCGTTCTCCTCCTTGTCCGATGAACGAAAAGTTCAGAGAGACATTAAGTGGCAATTAAATGCGTGTTATGTTTTGCGAATGTTCCATCAACGGCCAACATGCTGTTTCTCGAAAGACAAAATACAATAGCAGGCGTTTATTTTCCTCGAAATTGTCTTGCTGTTGCTCCAGCTCATTAAAGTTTCTCGGAGAGATAATTGCAGTATAACACGCGGCAGTTAAACACGTGTATTCTTGTCCGTTATTTCTGCAGAAAATTAAAGGGAGATCCAAATCCCACCGACATATTTTACTTTTCGTTCGATCGATTTACATGCAACGGCAAATGTCCTAAAAATGGAAAGCTATTTTACAGGAACGGTGAACACGATCTATTTAATGATTCTCTAGTATTAATCTGAGATCTTCAGAGAATATAAGGATACGATTGCGGTTTAATTGAAAATCCTTTACGTTATAATTACGGTCATCGACGGCCTTCAAGTATCTGACGAACATGTGATACAAGCTTCCAGAGACCGGAGGATTTGTCACAGAATATGTTCGTGTAACTTAACGCGTATGTTAATAGTTGTTTTATCGCGTGAAACGTCTTAGAGTTTGCCTCACGATCAAAAGATGATCGTGATTACGATGTAACGCGTAGTGATAAAACGGTACAAGCGCGCGAACAAATTGGATTCTTTGGGTTCATGGATCCATTTAGATTCGCGATTTCCATTTTGTTTTTCTACGTGGGTCTCGCGTGGGCGATTTTGCCAAACTATTGACAATTGGGACGCGGAGGAATGCTTTGATTCGCATGTAAATTTTAGGAGTCGCTCGTTTTGGTGCGCGCGCGTCGAATGATTTAACCGGACGACTGATTTTCGTTATTTCTCGTACACAATTTCTGCAACTTGCTGACGTACGTCAGCAAGTACGTACTTACGCGCGACAGGATAAAATGGCAAATTCGCGGCGCCAGCGCATTCGCGGTAACGCATATTAAAGCGCACCTTTGCCGTCGTTTCTTTCTCAATTGTCGGCGACACGTGGCGACGTGTAGATTTTTCGACCTTTGACAAATACAAACACCCGGTAAATTCCCGGTAAAAGCGGCACGACCGTTTTCTATTTTACTATCCCAGATTCGCTGCTGTGGACGTTCGGACGGTGTGAAAAGAAGAGATCGTCGTAGATCACGCGAATGAATTATTCCGATAGTGAGACGAAAGTTTGGTGTGCTTTGACCGCGTCGCAAATATGTCGTTTTAATCTACCATGCTCTACCACATGAATGTATCGAGTTTACTCGTCGTCTATTAATTCCATGTCCTTACCCTTAACTAGTCCTTACGGTTAGACTAACATCACCGACTTTACGTACGTACGTAAGAACATAGGAACGTCGCGCCGTATCGGTTTTCGCGCGACTACTGTTTCCAATTAATCACGCTCATCTTCGCGTCGCGTGAGATAATGACCGTCTCTACCATCGAACGAGAGAAAGTGAAGAGCGTCGTACGAGAGGGCGATCTCGCGCCGTTGATTTCGCAAATTGATGATTCCGTGTCTCACGGCATTACACGGCGATACGGGGAACCGCCTCCGCTATTTTTACGTTCGAGATGAGATCGATCGAATGAATGAAACATGACAATGAACGAACCGAATGACCGTTTTGGTCCAGCGACACAGGATTTCTGGTTCTCAAGGATCAAAGTCGGCTCTAAGAGCCAGAAATTCGCTTCCCTTCAATAAGGGCAATAAGGTTTGACTCGCGTTCATTGTGCCATGTTGATTCAATCCAGCCTCTCCTTTCGACGAGAAACTTTGTTTCCCCTTCTTTTGTTAGTAACATTTCCGCTGGCACGTAGTTTCACTCTTTGACGCGCTCCGAGAGGTAAACATTAAAACAAAGAGAAGAGATGGAAAACATTGCGCATAACTTTTACTTTTCAACGTTCTGAGTATGTATAAAGTATCGCCGGGATGCTTGTGCATCTGTTTGCGTCTAACTGAACCAAGCATTTCGATGTCGAAGCATACGTGCCAAAGTTTCGTTAGGGGGTCTCCAGCCCTCGAGAGACCATTAGCGTTACTTTCAATTACGTATCTGCATCTTGCTCGTTGCATGTATTCGCAATATTATGTATATGTATTATCACTCACACGGAACGGACCAGTCATACGGAACGGACAAGATTTGTAAGATACGGTCGATACGACGATATGTACTAATGTACGTATGCATATTCATCGTGAGATAACATATTTATAATAGATATAATGGCATATATATATATATATATATATAAATCGATTCTCTCAAAACATACATGTTGGTTACTGCACTGTCATCCCTCCCCATTCTCCGTGACGTATGTCGAGTGCTTTCGACACGACGAAAGACATTTCCAATTTACTTGGTAACAATTTATTCCGCGCGGTAATACGACGAACTAGATTGCTTAATTGTGTGTTTTACCCACTAAGCATTCAATTCCTTCATGCTCAAATCGGAGACTCTCCTTTTTAAGGAAAGTTTGTTTCCCTTTTTCTTGTTAGAAACATTTCCGCTGGCAGTTTCGTTCTTTAGCGTGCTCCGAGAGGTAAACATTGAAACGAAGAGAAGAAATGGAAAACGTTGCACATAATTTACAAATAACACGAAACTTTCCATCGACGTTGACGGAGCGCGGCGAGATGTAATTTACTCGCGAGATGACACGACGGTTCGGTTAAAAAATTCCGAAAAAGAATGCTTCGTGCTTCGAGACTAATTCTCATCAACTCGATTTCCGGCAAGTCGATCGGAGGATCGACGCTGCGGAAATCGACCCAGTCGCGGGTGAATAAAAATGAGGATGAGAGCGAGAGCTGAGGCGAGCAAGCAGATCGAGTATCGGGAACTAGCTGAACGAGGTAGGTAAGATTCCAAGTTAAAGTTCTAGTTAAAGTTCGAAGTCTCATCTCAAGTCAGAGATTAAAAGCTCTGTCACAAAATGAATCGGATGCATCGCAGCAGTCGGCCGCTACCGACTAACAGGACAAACTTTTTCGCCACGTCGATATAACGTTTTATTTTCTTAACGTACCGTATGACATACAATAATACACATCGTGTGTATGGGTAGTTTCTCCTCGTACGGAATATAAAAGAAAAATAAATCATATACTCCCATTGTTTCCCGAGAAAATATCCGTTTATGTGCCGTTTATGCCGTGTGTGTGCATGTGTGTGCGCCCGTACGATCTTTACATACGAATTATTTTCACACCCTTTCACATTCCTGATATTTTAAATTTCTGTAGCGCGAATACACACATACGACTGTTCCCCGATGCAACATCGTTTTCATGAGATGCATTTCTTATAAATATTGTTATTAATAATAGACCATGTCGTGTGCAAATGTATCGCGAAATTCACACACGAGTGGAACGGGAAAAATCTACCGCTATATCGATACAAACATCGATACAAAGGGATCTAACATGGACAAACGTAATAAATAACGAGCATCTCTCGATGGAAACATCTTATCACGTTGCAAACGTGATGAAATTCGACTGGTTCGAGAGTATCGGAATATCGATTAAAAACGATCATAAAGAAGTAATTGTTCATAAGTAATTAGTCATAAAGAAGCTAATTGTTCCTCTGCCGATAATCACTCTGAGCGTTTCATTCAAATGTGGAGAACACAACGACGTGCTGATAATTTTATGAGTAATCGCAATTGGGCAATGCTATTTAATCGTCAATAATTGATCATTAATTCATGAAAAAGAAAAAGAATGATATATAGCAGTCATTCTCACTATCGTCCGTATAAGTCGGATTTGCAAACTCTTAAGCTTAAAAGATAAGGCTCAAGAGATTTCGTCTAATTGCGAGATTTATTGTACTCTCCGCTCTATTTTTTTAATCTAATGTTTACCTTAATTTTATTGTCCCGGGTTCATCTTGCGCCAGGTCCCTACAGTATTTACTATTTTTCCGGAGAGACCTTGCGATTCCATTGCGGTGAGCGGTCGTGATATATTTTTATTATTCTCCTTCTCATTGCGGCTTTACCCTCAGATAATGGTGGCCAAAGTTCGTCTAGACCTGTTCTGTATAGAATCAAGATATTCCACAAATTTATTGTTCTGTTATTTTTGCAATTTTCTTTTCTTCGGTAAACGTCATCGTTGCAATGATAAAACTCAGTATAACACAAAGTATCATCGATGTTACAATGTCAGCTAAATCATATGGTAAGTTACATAACAGTTGCTTTGTTACAAGTAACAGTCACGTAACATACCATATGATTTAGCTGACATTGTAACATCGATGATACTTTGTGTTTACACTAGAAACATATTTTCGCGAAGCCTTGTTGAACGATACGTCCTGCGAATTCAGCAATTCAATAATCGCCGGAATCAATGCTACAATCACATGCTACAAAACTCTCAAACTGCGATATTGACGTTAAAATGAAGCTAAGAAGTGACCCGATAACGAAAGAAAGAAGAAACGCTTCTTCGATTATAAAAATTTCGGAATTTACGAATCTTCCCGAACAACACGCTTCAGCCATGTTGATCAAGCGATGTTCGATTGATTGCGGAATGAGGTTAACGATCGAGCATGTGTAATTTTAAGATTTCGAGGCACTTACAAATTCCAAGACGTCCATGAAAGAGAGCTAAATGAAGAAATGGACATTGCCTCTCTCTCTTTCTCTCTCTCTCTCTCTCTCTCGTTCACACAAAATATGGACAGACGCCCAAATTTGGATCCCGCAAAGTGTCCTTCTCGAAGGAATACTCAAATTCGCTGCGCATACCGACCGCACCGGAGATTGATGTCCCGGCGTCGTCTCAACAATTATTCCCGTGACAATATGTGTTCGTCTCCTTCGTCGACCCTTCCACGGCATCCTAAGTAGCTTCCATCGCGCGTACGAGCAGAAAAACGTGTCCCAATTTCGCACCGTGCATTTCGCAGCTCGTATTTTACTCCCGTCGCGTGTAATTTATTTCGCTTCCATTCCTGCACGCGTGCGCAATACCGTCGCGAAATGTTTGAAATGTTTCACGAGGTTACGCCACTGGGACATTCGCGCGCGATATTTGCCAGTTAAAGCGCGCATTACGAAATTTGCTTCGCGGAGTTCTCTCGCCAAATTGCTCGGAGATTTTACACACACACACACACACACACACATCTCTTCATTGTCGTTTTATTAAGATTATTCAATTTATGTACATTAAGTTCTACAGCGGTATGAGTCTCTTCCCATTTTTTTCAGCGAGACCGCGCTACAAGAATTCGCTCTGCCTGAGATGGAAGAAAAATCATAAGGTTTCATTAGAGAGAAACGTACTATTTCTCGGTTAAGGAAGTAATTGTTTCCCTCGGAGTAGTTTATAAGTACACGCAAGCACATTAATTCTTAGGATACATCAGTTTACTCTCTACTTTGTACTTAAAATTTTCTGTGTGTGCGCACACTTCGATACGTGGTTCGATTTTTATGTGCGTATCCTCTTTGATCTTATTGATTATTTCGCGCAACATCTCAGTCGCTAGACCTTACCGCTACGTCAATAATCAAATAATTATTGAGCTTTATTTGTAATATTGGATTTGGATTGTGGATCGTAAAACTGAATAAGAAGAAATAAATTGAAGAAGAATTGCGAGTTATGTTTCCGATATTGTGAAAAGTCTTAGTACAACGTAAAATATTGAAACGATGAATATTTCATAACTTTTATTGTTTAGACAAAGAATTTCTAATTGAAAATGACGTATTAATTCTCTTATCCATTGCATCCCAGTGCAGCAAGTCGGCTCAAAATCTTAAGTTTTCTCCTCACTCTTTGTAAATTAATATATGCCTTTCAAGTTAACTTTAGTAGAATAATTAAAACAATTGAAAAATGTGTTATTATAATTTAAGAACAAAGAAACAAACAGTAATCGACTAGAGTTTTATCACCTGAATAGATATTTCGTTTGATGTCAAACGTCTCTCATATTGTTTTTACTTGGAAAAGCAAATATAGAACATTATATATATATATATATATACATATATACATTATATATATATGTATATATACCATGAAACGTTATTACGTGTAAACATTTTTATCTAGATATTTGCACACAGTAACAATACGTTATCATTATACAACATGTATTGTCGTGTGGCATTCGAGCGTCGACTGCATTTTGTCTCAACTCAAGACATGTGATTTCATATTCGCTAATATACAATTGTAATCTTTTTTATACTATATACATAAACAAGATGTTTCTCACATAATATTTTATCATCACTTTACATTCGCTTCATTAATTACCATAAAAAAAAACAGTTTTCTTTTAAACAACCCACTTCTCGTAAGTAATTCTGCTTTCTTTCGACGGGATTATCAGAATTTCAGAATTGAGAATCATGTTTCTAAAACGCTAAGTCTATCAATCGTATATTCTGTGCAGAATATTCTACATTTGGAACAATTCGCGTAATTTTAAAGGCACCTAGTGACCGCGAGAAAGTACGTTAATATTTCTAATAAATTAACCAATTCGCTTAATACTCTGCAAACGTGATTGCTTTTAGCGTAATTCTGCAACTAAGAGAGATTAAATTAATACTATCGTTCTGAAGAAGGAAAAATCATTTTTGGCTTTTCGATATCTGAAGAAAGGATATCTGGTTCTATGTAAATCCTATCTCTTTCCTAAACTATTTTAATTACTTTGGTAATTAAATCTCCATCATTTATCCTCTCACTGATAGTCGCATGTGCTTGAAGCTATCAGTCAGGGATCAGAGTCACTAAAAATGCATGAGCAAGAAATAGTGTCTCGAGAGAATATGATGGAACTATGTAATAATCTCACAACCTGATGAGCGTATTTAGATATAACCAGTTATTTGAGATTCAGTGTGACGTGACGTCATATGGCGATTCATGGCAGTAAATGTGTTAACGTAAGTAATATTTTAAAGAATACGGTGCACTTCTAATATATCCTAGGACTCATTTGCTAAAACGAGAATGAGGTATATTATGGTTTTTGAGAAGCGGGAGATGAAGAATCTAGATTCATTCGTTGATAAGAAGTTTGGTTAAGCTAAAGTTTTTCAGACCGCTCTAAACAAAAATTGATTTAAATTCACAATCTTTTGTTTTCTCTCAGAAGCAGATCTTTTTATATGTAAACGCGATATCTCTCCTAATTTAAGTTCACTGAACGAACTCATAAACTTCATCTCGTGGATGAAAATCTGTTATCCCCTGTTATCCTGTTCGCAAAATATTTATTAAATAACAATATCAAATGGCGCGTTAAGCAGCGTCGCTGGCAGACGCATTAGGACTCAATTAAGGTCGATGGTCTGCGGTAGCAGGTGACAACATTGATACTGACTCGTTAGACCAGAGCGTACGTACATGCGAGTTCTGATCTGTGACGAGAATGTCGATAAACGTTTAATCAAATGATTGATCACCAAGTGCGATGATTATTTACGGCGGCGCTGAATGAGGAGGCTGGGGTCAGCAATTTGAAACAACGCTATGCTTCTCGTCGGCGTAATAAGATACTGTTACCACGTCTCCACCTACGTTGATCAAGCATTGACCCTGGGAACATTGGCGTTAAGCATATTTTTGTTTTCTTATAAAATATGTATCCGGATGTATATATTACGATCATAAAACAATGCGCGCACAGCTGTAATTAACAGTGTAATAATAGTTATTCTTCATCAGGACGAAAGGAAACAAGCGAGAAGCGGGAAAAGAAGCTGAAATCAAGTAATGTTTCTGCTTACTTGATTTTTGTGTGGGCTATGAAGAAGTACGCACTGCGTCATTGAGAACGCGACCATAGCGTTACCTCCGAGTGCTGTGATGTGTGCACGAACGATTGCGAGAATTTCCATTACGAAACTGTGAGTGAAGCCGCTTAATCCACCGTTCTGCGAACAGGCCAGCCGTCGTTATTGTTAACGACCACTACCATGATAACAAAATTTCACGAATTTTTCGACATAGGTTCCGGAAGGACTCACCTCACGAATGGATGTACTTTCGCGGATGAAGAAGAAATTTAAATTGCCTTGGTACCTCTCTATCCTTCCACCTGGCAGGTAAGATAAAGGTGTTATGTCTACACCGTATCTTCCTTTTAAAGGCACCTGCAATAAAGAGTGAAATAAAAATTCATTAGAATTTCAATAGAATAAATAGAAACTTAGCAGAGAGTGACAAAAGTGAAAGAGAGAGTACAAATCGTATTAAATAAACTCAGATATATTCAAAGGGAGGATTCTCACATATTTATGTCTGTGAGCCGTAAATGTTTTCGAACGTAAGGGTGAACGTGGCCTAGGTTTCTGCATAGAAATATTATTCAAAACTGCGGAGCTTCCCGTACAAGTGCGAACTGGATTGTCGGATATGATGTTGGTATCTACGTGATCCTCATCAAGACTAAATATCATATCACTGTCATCTATCGAAGAGAAAAGAAACAACGGTATTAAATATCCGACGTCTATTCTTTGAAGTCGACTGCTCACATAGTTACAAAACAGTAGTTAGAGTCATAAAGTGCGATAAAAACTGCCAGCGAGAGTATAAACGCTGTTCGCGAGCGAAATCGCTTTAAAACGTACCTGACTTCCTTACTTGGTCCTTGCTCAGGGAACGACATACAATTTTTTTCTTATATCTGTCCGTTTTCAGGGGTTCTCCCAACCCAAGCGCCATGCCGATGACAGTTACTTGTATTTCATCTTGTTCGGGTAATGCTACCCTAAACTGCATATCGCACAACGCGCAGGGAACCATTCTCCTCAGTTTGAAGCATAAGGACTGAGATACAGAGTGAGAAACGTGTCACCAAAGTACAGAGAATGCAACAAAATTACATCGACACCATACATCATACGGAACAATAACCTGAACCTAAACAGATACCTGAAGTAATCGAGCGAAGAATTTCGACGGCATCGTCGCGGACTGCCCCACAGGGATCTTCGTTCTCGAGATCTGCGAGAACATTTGTAAATTTCGAACAATTTCCAAGTCCTCCAAGCCGGGAATCGTCTGCGTGTTGACCACATGGAAATCATCGGGCGGTCTGTCGTCCATCAACGACGATATCCGATCCATATCCTCGATATCGTCCACTTCCAAGACGCAGGCGTCACGTGTGCCAAGTCCGAGATCAAATTCTGGAAGATCCTCGTCCGAGTCGTCCGTGTCGGAAGTACTCGTAATGCGTGTACTTTCTGCTTCCTAAAAAAATTATGTCCTCATCATTCGCGGTCTCTCTTTCAAGTCTTCATATTCCGGCGATCCGCTAAGTCGTATTACGTACGCTGATGCCGACGGATTTCAGGTGATAAAATTCCCGATTCTTCTTCGCCGTCTCCACAATAGACTTCTGAATCTCCGCCAATTGTTCGTCATTGTGCCACGAGTTGCCGGACGCTATTTGAGGAATGGTGGGCGGCGGTAGCGCTGTCAGATAAAGCGCGGTACCCACCGCCATGCCAATGATCAGGCGTTCTCCTACGGAGACCTGCAGCTTCAGGCCGAAGATCGCGTTCATGCCTTTCATCTTGAGCTTGTTCAACAACAAACTGTGAAGCTCATATTCCAAGAAAGGCAGGCAATCGGATATCTCCTTGGCATTGAGTTCGCCCCGCAAGTCCTTCTTGTTCTTGCACACAGTCGCTTGGATGAAACAACCTCTGCCGGTGGTCGGTATATTCGCGGGCACCTCGATGGTCGTGAACATCACGTCCGGCACTCTACCGCGTTTACAGATGGCACACTTGGACACGTTCACTCTGAAGGGCACGCTCTTCTCGCTGTATGGAAGGTGACACAGGTTACACCGCAACTGAGTCTGACCGCATGAACCCTCGTGGTCGTTGCTCTCCGAAGAGTGTCTGCACGCTTTACTGGTTTGCCGTTCCGAGTGATTCGCGACAGGCGTGTCGCTATCGGCCTTCTCCGTCTTCATCATTGTCGTCGACTTCTGCTGACTCTTTTCGCGATCCGAGTCCACCGAGGCCGCAGTGGCTGTATTCAGCTGGAGCTTGTTCAGAGCTACACTGTCCGGTTCTTGGGCCGAATTGTGCAGGTTTATAACCGCCGCAGTCCCGAAGGCGCTCAATACGCAGACATCGTCGCTGTGGAGAAGGATTTTGTCAGCGAAACGACAACGTATCGAAGATTGCATTTTGGACAAGTTCAAAAAACAAAAGAGAAATGCGATAGTAAGAAATGTACAAGTGGCATGGAGCATCATTGAAACGCGACAAACACGTGTAACGTGACATCTCACCATATGCTGGTTTCCTCTTTGTAGCCTATCACTACATTGCAAGCCAATGCTCTCGCGTGTGACCTAACTTCCATTCTAATCTCGGTCCACCAAGCGTCACGGCCCTCTGGTTCCTCCAGGTTGCTTATCCTCTCGAGCAGCTTCACCGATCTCGAGCTCACCAGACCACCTATCTCCAGATATATAATTCAGTTTGCTGTGACGCATTTGAGCTGAGACGCAACATCGACGTTTCTCAAAAGCAATCGATTTTATTTGTCGTTAGCAAACCCGACACGACGACGACATCTTGGATCGAGGCTACGTCCTTCCTAAAGACGTAGTAGTAAAGACGTGTAGTAAAGCTTAATTACCTATGTGTAATATGAAGCCAGGTGGATAATGTTGCATCGTAATAAACGGATATTCTAACATCTCCAAGGTGTCCTGGTTCATGGATCTAACTACTGCAGCTGGTGTCCTTAACGGCGCCGCCATCGATCTGTCATTGTTGCCAAGAGAGTTACCTGAGACAAGGTGATCATCCTTCCTCATCCTTTCTCTCCCTCAACTCATCGACAACTCTTTCTTTCTTCTCAATTAAAGGTACCAGACTCTATTATTTGATATCAGTGGGATTATCCGTAAAATTAATCGCAATCGAAGTAACACTGGAGAGAAAAAAAATCTGGCAGAAGACGACTGGAGCTCTTTTGAAAAAGAGCTCTCTCTCTCTCTCTCTCTCTCTCTCTCTCTATTATAACTGGCTCTAGGTCATCGAAGCTACCCGGAAGGAAAGAGAACCAACCTTTCGGGGTGATGCTCAAGTCGGAATCGCTCGATCTCCTGTGAAGCGGCACGTTGGCGAGCGTTCTATTCGCCGGCGACTGGGAGACCTTCGCCGCGACGGACGGGACAGTCGGAAGCGGGTACGACGGACTGACGGACGACGCTGCCTCATCTTGCTGCCTAAGATCGGGAGAAGGACGGGACACACACGAGTTGTGAGTCATATTAGCCGTGTTAGTGGGCTTGGTGCGATCAATATGACATAATGTTCCGCCTAGATTACAGACGCTACTACATCTGCGTACCGTTCGCGCCATATCGGCGCTCGACGACGGCTGATTAGTGGTCGCGGTTGGTTTACTATGAGCAACGTCAGGTAACGCGATGATGTCGGTCTCGTCGAGGCTCTCGAGCGGTCTCCTCGAGATTTCAAACGCGTCGGTGACTACGGCGGCTCGTTTCGAGCTGGACGATGATACGCGCGTATGATGATGATGATGATGACGGTGGTTATTATAATAATAATAATGACGATGATGACGATGATAATGATGATGTCGATAACGACCGTTGGTTAAGCCGAGAGGGGAAGAGTCGCAGGAGCGGGAAGTGGGGCGGAACGACGAGATCAGCTGCCGATCCGCGGAGAGACAATCGGGGGTGGAACAGACGCGAGGAACGCGGCAGGAAATGTCTCCTTCCCGATGGCCGTGGCGCTTCCTCTTGAACGCGCTGCCACGCGAAATCGAGCTCTCGAGTGACGTCGGGATATCACGCGTCTTCTCGCGCTTTCTTCGTCTGCTCTTCAACGAAACGGCTCCCTTGTCGTGACGCATCGACGCGCGTCCCGACACCATCATCTTCGTGTCGATCAGCTTGATCAGGTCGAGCATGCTCCTCTGTCTCTCCATGGTCGCCGCCTTCGTGCGCATTTCTGCGCACGACAAACCAACATCGTCGGTGGCATTCCGCGACGACTCGACCGCCGAATCCTTCCTCTTCCGGCTCGAGCGATTCTCCGTTTCGCTGAGCGATGGGGACTCCCGTTGCGCTGATTGCTGAGCAGATAGACCACGCGTTCGACAAAGGTCTCGCTGATGCCGCGTGAGATGCACACGATGCACCTTCTCGTGAGACGAGCCGTCGGAACCGGACATGGCGCTGCTGCCGCGTCCTACGTTTTCCTCCACCTTCAAACTTGGCCTTTCGCTTGTCTTCGCGGTAACGTCCTTGGCGTCTTCCAGCTTGTCAACTGACGAATGAGTCGTTCTCGAGACGAGAACATCGGTGTCCGTCAGGTCGTGAGACGTCGAAGCGCCCGGCGAAGGGTTCTCGTCGCTCAGCAACAGTCTGGACGCGTCGATAGACGTGTCCGAGTCCGTGTTGTCGAGGATGTCCACGGTGATGATGGGGATCTCGTCGTGCCGTAATTTGACGGCTTCCATGCTCGCTAGGTTTCGATTCAATGACAGGCGGTACGTCGTGTCCGAGTCCACTTGCAGGGTGGAGTCCGTGCAGCTCCCCGCGCTGGAACGAACGGTTCGAGCTCCCTCGCGGGAACCAACCGAATCTTCCGTTCCGTCGGAACCGTCGTTCCCATCGAGCGAGTATCTCGAATCGCGCAGAATGTTGTAGCTGGTGTTGTCTTCTGACGAGTCGTCGTCCTGGCTAAAATTATCGTCGTCGTCGTCGTCGCCGTCGTCGTCGTCGTCGCAAGAGGAGGATATTTCGCCGACTGACGACAAGACCTCCCGACCAAGTTGCTGTTCAGTCTTGATGTGGCCATCTGTGGTCTTTCTGACACTCAGAGGGACTTCTTCCTCGCGGCATAGTTTGGTCTCTTCGTCGTTGCACTGCTCGTTGCTGGAAGAAACGGGAGAAGTAGGACCGACGTTCCCCATATCCTTCAGAGGCATGTTCTGTATGGATCCAATGAGTAACGCGGCCATTGTCTTACCGGTTTTAGCCTCCTTGAAGCTGCTCGGCCCCCTCGTGGGATTGCGCACGCTTACGATAAAGGATCTAACCGGATCGGCGTCGGAGTCGCGGTCGGTCTTCAAGGCGAGGTGGTTTTCTTCGCCGACCGAGTCGAATTGGTCGCGGAGATTCTGAATTTGCCTGGAGAGCCGGCTGGATTTGGGCGATTGCTTCCTGGTGTCTTCCGACGGCATCAGCATGGTGCGCAGAGATCTCACCGTCTTGTCAATCAGATATTCCGGCGGAGTGACGTCGGAGCCGCTGAAGGTCCTCAGACTCGGAGTGCTCAAGGTAGAAGCGGAGCGGAAGAAGGGAATTCGCTTGGCATGTTTCTTCCGCGTCGCGACGTATCCGGGAGTCTCCAAGCGCGTTAGCGACGACGATGAATTGGCGTGAGAGAACGGGAAACGCGTCCTGTCCGCAAGTCTCGGCGGTATGCATAAAGGATAAGAAGCGGGAACGGGAATGGGAGTGAATGGCGCGCCGTCGTCGGCCTCGAAACGTTCCGTTTGCATTTTAGTGCGTGAAGGAAGCGCGAGCGCGATCCTACACAAACGCATGCAAGTGGGAAGGACAGAAAAATATATCCATTAATTTTCGTATGGAGAGTCATTGTAAGCGCGAACAACGAGAAGAGGCGGACAATACGGATCTTAGCGCCCGGAAAAGAGCGACTCGGAGGATATTTTCCCCGAGAGAATGCGGAGAGAAATGTTTGCGCGTTACACCAAGAGATTGGGCAATCAACGACGCTATGCAATTCAGAATTCGATCTACTTGTAGCGTCGCGATGATGCCTCGAGATAGGAAGAATGATAGAAGATAATCAATAACGCGATCCCGTTTACCTAATTGCTTAAATTAGATTAGTTCGATCGATACGTTCGGATCGCGCGTGACAGTCTAACATAAATGTGTCCCCAGCCGTGAGACAGAATGCCTGTAACGGTCACATTTCCTTGTACGAAATTCTCGAAATAGCTCGTTCGCGAGAGAGCCAAGTCTTTATGGCCGTCTGTTACGCGAGTTGGCGGCACGCTCAATTCGCTCGCGCGATGCCAGACGCAATTGCGTGGTAAGACGTCGTTTATCGTAGCGATCAAACCGGTGCAATTATATTTTGAGCGAGACACTCTTCATCCCGGTAATCTCTAATTGAATGTCCAAGAACACTTACTCTTCGATGTTGGCGTTGTCGCAGGGGAAACCGAGGACATCGTGCAACTTTACGAGCGTGACTGCTGTGCCTATACCTCTGGCGACGATACCGGATTCGCCTTCCAGGTCGAAGTTTTGTAGATATCTGCTATCACGAATATGCCAAATCGGACAATGAAGTAACGATATACGGGGATTATGAATGATGTAAATAAATTTTGTTTGGAGAAAAGAAACGACACGCGTACCCTATCACAGCGTTTCCACCAAGGTCGAGCGCCTTCAATCCAATCTTTCTCTGGACTTCTCCGCTTAATTTAAAAAACAGTGTCTGACGTGCTTCGTTCGATGCTCTGGGAGTTCTTATTTTATCGATCCACTGATATTCCGGATCGTCGCTAACTACAAGCTCTTCCACAAATCCATGTATCATCTGAGCATGATACCCATAGGGTATATTTGGCGCTGAAATATATCGATATTATTACCTGTAATACTCATTTCTGTTGGAGATTGTGTGAGTCAATTAGAAAACAAAGTGTGTTTACAATAAAAAAATTGTACTCCGCAAGATGACTGTCTAAACTTGTTAAAATCAGAGAACAACTCCACTTTGATGATAATGTTCACTTCGCCACGTATACCATGCATCGTGTCATATACAGGTATCCATCCAGTCATAACTGACCCTGCAAACAACACATGAATTGCACAAACATTTAAGAACCAATGCAAAGTGCAATAATAAATCAATTTTACATTACACATATATATTACCTTGTGAACTAGCACTGGTATTCATTGTTGCTTCCAGAGTCCAAATATTTTTTACTGGAGGCAGCATACCAGGTAACAATAATGGATTCAGATTTATATAAACTTTGCCTATTGCATCATTTGCAGAATATGTATCATGATCCATTAGTCTGATTTGCAAAGGTTCGTCTTGTAACTCTGCATCATCAACCTCAAATTTGTACCATTCAGAATTCCACTGTGGATTCAAAGATTTTCTGCATACATCTGTCTTATAAGTTATATTGCCAAACTTAAGTTCCACATATGCATCCGTTGTATCACCCGAACGATCCATGACAGGCAGATTACGACCTGCCAATATTTTCACTTTTATTTTGCCAGGCATTATGTTACTTCAGAATTCAATAAACAACCTACAAACAAAGTTTATTTGTATATCAATATCTGTAATTTTGTTAGTGCAATTGGAACATTATCTATTTAAACTTCCTATTTACTTCACAATTGCTAAGTATCAGAGTATCTATTCATTCATGCATCAGAGATTAACACGGAAGATTGTATTATTTAACAGAGAAGATTGTATACAATGCCAAGTGCTTGTTTTTATATTATTATTTATACTTGCATTTATTGTTATAAGTACCTAAATTTGCTCTTGAAATACTTTAAAAATAAACAAATGCAATAGATCTTACACTTTAATTTATCTGAAGAAATTTCATGCAAAAAATATAATAACCTTCAAAATTCAACCACATTCAACACATACCTCAAGATACACGTTTACTTAAATATTACCAAAATATTACAAACAGGGAAGGCTTGTCAAACACTTCATTAACGAAGTAGAGTCCTACATCTAATCAAATTGATGTTTTATGAAGAATAACGAATATTTCATCAGTGATTAATTACATCTTTTCAATCGACAATCTTGATCTCGCATGCCTTTTTATTCTTTATGTAAACTAGTATAGATCACACAATATTAGAATATACACAGCTCCGGCGAAACGTGTGACAGCATCTGACCACACTGACGAATTCGTTTCGCCAGAGTAGGTTAAATATCCGCTGTGATTTTACCAACGATCCATAAGCTTAACTACTGTCGCACCCTAGATCTCTTTTCGTTCGATTAAACAAAATTCAAACAAGAAAAGTACTTATCTCATTATGTATGTTAATAGTGTTCAAGACATACATATTTTAAAACATGCATTCAGTTTTAATGAAATAATATACATTTATATATTTTTCAGGTCATTTTATTTCTGCCTCGCATCGATAACAGGTCACATTGATGAATACAGACGAGTAGTCGAATATATTACAATACATAAGGAACACCGCGTAAGCGCAAAATTTCTTTCTTAAGACATCTGCAATATATAACATGTTCTTTCAGTACACATATAATGCATATAATTAGCTTGACGAGCTATCAAGCCATAACACAGATATATAATACAATTAAAATATTAGTATACAAAAAATAAATAAACTTACATTGCTCTATATTCACATTCATAATTTATGAACAAAGTAATGAGGACGTGTGTGACAAACGGCGGCTATTATACATCCTAATAACAAATTAAATAATCATCAACTTATTTCATAATTGGTACTATATATATATATATATATATATAAATGAAAGTGCGATACAATTCATATAACGCGCTTTTCTGGTTATCGTTGTGTAATTCTTTTTTAATCCGTAGTAGAATAAATATATCTCAAGCAATATTTCTGGAATGATCTCCCGTGGGGGAAATGCCGAAGAGTAGCGGGGTGTATTATTAACAAATATTGACTAATTCGGCTGTTCTTACAACTACTGAATCATCATTCGTGATTTTCGAGAAATATACTAACGAATGTCGAGCATGTGCATAGTCATTAATTGCATACAATATACATGTGCAATTGAGAATGCACTCAACAATAAATACATGGCATCATATACGAGAATATAACAAGTTTATCTTTATATATATTTATATGTATATAGCTATGTTATTGCTATTCGATAATTAATAGAGGAGACGTTATCATTTCTCGCGATAATTCTGGCTTAGGAAATATTGTTCCAGAGCATCATTGTACATTCAAGATATTAGTTTTTCAACAACGCCCCTTCCATACTGAAATGAAATGTATTACATAATATACAACTACAAGTACATTCAGTTTGCTGTTTATAGCTGTTATTATCATCATCTTGCATCTAATCCTGGTGATACAAATCTTCCTTCCCTATCTATGCTATAATCAAAGTTATAACTTAGGGAGGGACACAAAGAGCCTGTGTCAAGCTTCTAACTCGCTGGTGGACGACGTTGGTGCAATATAATTACCGCTGCGACAGCTAATAAATAAGTACTGCGCTTACAATTCTTTTCTATGAATGTTTCTCCAAGTTGTTAATCGTGTATTGAAAATACATAAGGCATATAAGAGGAAGAAATGCACTTGACAGAATGTAATAGACGATCCTTACGCTAAAATCAGGTATTGCGTTTGTTACTCCCAACTTCCAAACGCTCTTCTGTTCTCTTTACACGTTTCCGTAATAACTGTACAACAGTAGTACATTATTAAGCAACAATCGGATATTTAATCGAATCGTAGGAAACTATTATTTCCAAGTGCGTGCATATACAAGCCCAACAACAAACTGACCTATTAAGCTCTTAAAAGATGTAAAGATTTTAAAAGATATAAAGATCTTAAAAGATGTAAAGCTAAGAAACCTATCCCTTTGGATTGGCTATTGTTGCGATTCAATTGAAAATAGACAGAAATACTTATTATATGACGAGCACTACACGACTTAGCTCGATATTCTCTGATACTCGAAATTTCACCGATAAGACTGACAACAGTCGTTTAGGTTTAGGTATCTACCGTATGATGGTGGTCTGCGCTCGTATCTCAAAATATGGAGTTAATATGCGTTTTTGGATATGCACCACAATGGAAGCTAGTGTTGTTTTCTATCCGTTATGGTAATCTATCGTGACACAAAGAATTTAGTGTCATCGGACTACGTCTCATTGTCTACGTTATGTCTACGTAAATTACTACAATCCAAGAGCGCGTTCGTTTCGAACGATCAGACCAGAGTCGCTGAGGTCTGACAGCGCCAAAAAAAGCAAAACAAATGGATAAATATATAGGGTTCAGAGGCGCCCGCGATTTCTCTGTATCTACGCTTTCAAAACTAACGCAGCTCGATACGGAATACTTCTTATTCTAGGCCGCCTTCCTCTTCTAGCTTCGATAAAAACTTCGGAAGTCTGTAACCAGGTTCCACTTGACGTGCCATGTCTATCAGGCATAACAGCTTCTTAATACCGATGAATATGCTGTAATTATAATAACAAGTCAGTCGAGTAGTTAATCGCGATATGCTACGCGAAAATATTTGTCATAAAGTTCCTTATCTCTGCTATGTATGCTCATCCATTCTTAAACAGTAGTACTATATATTATATATATACCAAAATATATTAAAAGAAAAAAAAAAATATATATATATTAATCTATGTTAAGGTATATATTAAAAAAATTCGATAGTTTTGTGAAAGAAGTGAACTTGTATATTACCGTTTTCCTTGAAGTTTTGCGTGCAAAGAAGCCATTTCATGCTTCGAAAAGAGATCAACTTCGTCCAGAACACTCAACAGATGGTCAGGGGTTGATAAATTAGGCACGTGAAGAATGGTATTAAATGCCGAAAGTAATTCCAGCTCGTCTAAAACTTGCCTACGAAGAAAATAGGATTTAAAATAAATGATAAAATCCTCAGCATTGTAACTTTAATTGTGCATAACGATAGAAACTCCTTATACCTACCTACGACTAGAAGTGCACAGAATCAATAATTTTCGGCCAGGCGGTGGAGACTTCTTCAATAGCACCAAAAGTGCTTGCAATGTCAGATTAGAGTATCTTGGTCCAATTGGGCCGTAATCCAATAATCGTTCAATGTTATCGACTAAAATGCAGCTAAGCTGTGAACGATATGCGTCGTCGAATACCTGAAACGTATAAATGTGCAGATTCTTAACTTATGTTTTAAACATTATATTGTATACAAGCTAATAATAAATTTTATTATTTTTATATATCACATTAATAAAGTGTAGACAATCACCTTAGATTTGTGTGTATTGCTAAAAATTAGCATTATAAAAATAAAACGAGCTGCATTACCTTCCGTATGGAAAGACATTTCGCAGACTCGATGAAACCGACCATATCCTCGGGTGTACACACTTTGACGAACGGAAAGTCCGAATTCTTCGCGATCTGCGCAGCCAACGCAGTTTTCCCGCTATTCGGTGGACCTTCCAAGAGAACGGATACAAGTCCTGATCCTTCAGTTGCGCGAGCTTGTTGAATGCACAGACCGCCATCGGCGAGGATATCAACCACTGGTCTGCCCCAATTGATAATTCCGCGGGTCAATAACTGGGTCAATGCCTCAGCACTCGTACCAAATGCCTGAAAGATGCACGAGTATTTAGTCGACAAGAATAACTTCATGTTTATCAGAAACGTGACAAAAGATCTTCAAACTTACTGGTTTAACATCGTGTTCCAGGGCATGGAAGAAGTCACTTCTAGTGACCATGAGTTTTTCCATCGCGGCTGGATCTACCTCCACCTTGCTGGAAGCTTTTATCAAACGATTCATAGCAGTACTTTGCGCGGCTCTGACTAGACCCTCCAACTCCGCACCGCTAAAGTTTTTCGTTAATGTAGCCAACTCCTTTAAATCCACATCAGTCGAGATTTTCTTGTAGTCCCTCATTCGCGATGTATGAATGTTAAGAATCTGATATCGTCCGTGTTCATCCGGCAAGCTGATTTCCATTTGTAGCTTGAAATATGAAAAGCCGAGATATATTTAGAATGCAAAATTATATTGCAAAATCGGTGATTATTCTCGAGGAAATTTAATCTTACCTCCAATCTACCAGGTCTCAATAAGGCTTCATCGATCATGTCTCTTCTGTTGGTCATACCAATAATAAGAATATTATTTAACTGTTCAACACCGTCAATCTTGGCGAGCAGCTGATTCACCACAGTGTCGTGCACTCCTGTGTTTCCGGCGACACTGCCTCGAGACTTGCAGATAGCATCTATTTCGTCAAATATAATTATGTGAAGTCCACTGTTTGGTCCAAGCTAAAAATAGGAAAAAGCCTCATCTTTTTTTTATACACGTGAAAAATATAATTTAAATATTTGTATATGCCGCGCGCATATAAACGATAAAATTCTTAAATTCTTTACCCTCTTTTCTTCCTCTTCCGCGTCAGCAAACAATCTTCTAATATTAGCTTCACTCTCTCCAACGTATTTGTCCAAAATTTGTGGGCCGTTTACAATTTTCGGTTCTCGAGCGTTTAACATTGTTCCTATCTGACGAGCCATTAATGTTTTGCCTGTACCAGGAGGACCATATAGCAAAATGCCTTTTACGTGCTTGCAGCCCATTTGAGTAACAACTTCCGTCGGGAAAACTCGAGATGCAAATGCTCTGCGGAAGATGGCGCTAAATTCCTTATCCAAACCGCCGATACCCATTTTCTGAAAGTCCCAATCCGGATTGATAATCGCCTGTCGAACAGCTTTTCCTTTAGCTTGCCCGACGAGGTTCAGGCTGGAGTTTTCGGCTTTCTCAAATTGTATCATGGTATCACCCAAACATCGACCCAGTCTGGTCTTCTTCGGTACAGTAGACTGTCCTGAACTAATGGCCGACAGGTCAGCAGCCTCCAAACTCTTGACAACCAATCCAAGCAGCTTCTTGTCTTTAAACTGAAATGCCAGCTGCTGACCCACGGTGAATGCCTGGCCTGAAAATTGTAGCAGGAAATCCTTGACCATTTCATCTGTGTTGTATGGGTCCAAAGTAACACTAGAATAACAATGTAGAAACAGTTAAAGATAGTCTTTATAATATAGATTAACATCTACGTACTGGATAAGTATTTCATAAATCATCTGTGAAAGATTGTTGTTTTGTTATATTGTTGTTATCTTGTCTTAGATTATTCAAAGTACACACGTCTTTTTCTGCAGGAAATCAGCTTCCAAAACAATATTGCACAAACATTCTGTATTAGAAGTTGGATCAAAGTGATATGGTCGAACTTCAATATCCTGATTGAGTGACAATGTTGCCCATTTCCTCTGAGGTAAGCTAAAACCAACTGTACCACGAGGTATTTCATGATGTGTTCTTACGGTAAACACAAAGTGATAATTTGGCGCAGTAGTCACTTCAACATGCCTGCAACGTTAAAACATTATAAAACATAAATATGAAACAAAAAATATATCTTATCTTCTACATATCTTATCATCTTCTAAATATTTGTACAGGATGTATATCAGATAAATTCATATCAATTCTTGACAAAGTTTACACGCTAAAAACACGCTAAAAATAAAACAAAGTTCGATCAATAACATGTTCATTCTTTTCTCATCAGAAATTTATTATTATATTATAAGCAATATGTTCATCTTATTGCTATAATAAAATATTAATAGAAATAAAGTTATCCGCACGAATTATACATATAGATTTACAAGTTGACCTGATCTCGACATGACAGATCAATTTGCACAATCAAATCCAGCAAAACAATGTTTTTTCTGGTTGGATATTTTTACCTGACATCGTCAGGGAAATCATCAGCGTTGATAATAGCGCAGTTGGAGAGAGTGAGCTCATCCGTAGGACACCTCACTGCTTTCATCCGCTGAAGCAGACAGGCTTATGTCATATTTTATGCAAGGTGACGATGCGTGGGAAAGCTTTACAAAGACGAGTATTGATGAGATTTCGACGCAAAGTGGGAGGGATGGAACAGCATGCGATTTGTATGAAAAACATTCTCGTCCGTCACCATGAATCGGTCGAGAATGCGAGAAAAGCCTTCGCACTTTTGCAGACAAACGTGCGCGATGGCAATCCGAAGGCGATTTGGAGACTTTCACTAGCGCGGCAGAATATACTCACCATTGCTGACATTTTTTTACGGAGACGAGCAAGCACTGGTCACGGTGTGATACAGTGGCGCAACTTCGTGTCAGCAGCTCTGATATTGATGAAAGCGAGCTACCCACCCCACGATCATGCGCGAGCGAAGGCGAATGGTCGGTAAAATGAATCATATTGTAATCCCGCTACTTTACTCGCAGTTCATAATAGCCCATAACGTTTAAAACTGCAAAATTATTGAATAGTATGAATAAAAAAAGTACTCGGTTGTAGTCGGTTTTAACAATTGATTAAACAAAGATCAGTAATTAAATTGCATTTCTCTTGTGTCATTTAATGCCTAATATATTATCTACAATGATATTTAATAATGCTCGCAGAGAGAATTCAGCCGCACTATTTAAAAGTCAAAAGAAGAAAATGTACTATCGTATCATGATATTCGAGAATAAAAAGATGACTCTTGACTTTGGATGAATCATTTGAAGATAAAAATGTCTCCGTTGTGAGTCGCCACCGCCTCTATCGGCCAAAAGAAGAGTATAAAAAATTAGACGTTTTTACATTTTTTAATTCTTTATTTCAACGATGAGAAAGAAAAATTCAGAAGATTTTTTATCAGCACAAACACCGACGAGATACTATAAAAACTATTGATCTTACGAAATTTAGCGTACCAGAGAAATCTCGCTGTGCATTAGCGTCCTCTTGGGAATATCGTGGCCGGAATATGAAACATAGCTCGAAATAAGCAGGGATGGTAACAGATATGGAATAATGGGAAAAAGATACAGGAAAATATCAAAAGACTATCAATGCGGAAAACAGATCGAATGTGTGTGTGTGTGTGTGTGTGTCTCCTAGGATTGCGAGACGTGAGCAAATTTCATTGTCGTCTTCGTCGTCTTCGTCGTCTTCGTCGTCATCTTCGTCGTCATCTATGTCCTATTTGTCGTCTTCATCTTCGTCGTCTTTGTCGTCTTCGTCGTATTCGTCGTCTTCGCTGTATTCGTAGTCATCCTCGTCATCTTTGTCGTCATCTTCGTCGTTTTCTTCGTCATCTACGTCCTCTTTGTCGTCTTCGTCGTCGTCGTCGTCTCTCCCTCGTCCCTTGATTTGTTATATCATCAATTATGTTGATAATTTCTACCAACTGCTATTACAATTTTGCTTTATCGATATCTTTTAGTTCCTTTTAAATAAAGCGCAAACTCGTTGGAGTTCGCCAGCTGCTTCGACATCCTCTTAAAAAAAAACGGAACAAAACCAAAAAAGCGCGAACATTACTTGTTACCCACTGAGCCGAACTGTGAAGCGTCAGCTACGTAGTTTATGCCCGTAAAATAAATATAGAGGCGCTGCCAAATAAAGTGACTAGAGCTATATCACGACCATAGCCGCTCTGTCAAGCTTCCCGTTTCCTTTTACTTCGCCGCGCATGCGCAGCCAGCCTATCCTATCTAACAAGTCTCACAACATTGGCTAGGAGCAACATTTTATCGCGGTTAGCCGTGGCGGCCGGAGTTGGTGGTCGTTGGTATATCTCATCCCGTCGTTTTACGTCGTCATCGTTCTCTGTAGCCTTGCTCGCGCATCGTATATACGCCGTGTCCGCTCTCTGTCTCTCTTTCTCTCGCGGTTCGTCCAGTGCCGCGAGTGCTCTTGCGCGCGAGCGTTTGTACGCGCTCGCTGTTCCGGGAGCTACGAGGAGAGAAAGAACGACAGCGGATTTCGCACACAGTGATCGCGCGAGTGCGAGCGTCATCCACGGCGATGTCGACGACGCCGAAATGCTTGGAGGAGTCGCTGGGCGGTAAGTGAGAGACAGCCATTACGAGGGGAATGCTCGCTGCGACGCGCCGTCGAATGTTGCACAAAGTGCCGCCATTTCGCGCGGTGTCCCTGTTGCTGCGTCTCCCCCCTCGCTCCGTCTTTCTCTCTCGTTGGCGCCGCGTCACGAACATAAACAAACGCTCCGTTGCTCCGTTCCGCGATCGTCTCTCGTTCGTTTGGCGACACGTCGGCGATGACGCGTCTCACTCGACGCGACGGCCGATCGTGTCCGCGACGAGTTCTCGGGATTTGCTCGTCGCAAAGACCGCGCGACTGCGAATGAGCCGCCGTTGATTGCCCCGGCGATGGGAATGTCGCCGCGTCGACGCCTCGGACGCTCGGCGAGACGCGCATTTCTCGCGACAATCAAACTCACACGTCGCAGCTCGGATCGAAATGTCGAAGCGCCGGGAGCGAGTCGGGGCGCGATTTTGCCGGGATTTTGGACTTGTTGCCGTCGCAGCCGGCGGAGATACAATTTTCGATGTCGCGAACGAATCGATACTCGTCCTGGCTGCTGGCTGCCCCGCGTTGCGAAGTTGCATGGCGCAAGGCTCGACTTCGCGAAGTACGCCGAGCGCGAAACGCCTTTGGCGATTTATCAAGGTTTCGTGGTAATTACGCTCTTATCGTCATTCAATTGTTACAATTGCCGTTGTTATCGTGTCTCGTGTTATATTTAGTACAGGGGAAAAGGGACTTTTCATATTTTTAGATAACGGAACATAATTTGTAGCGCTGTCCCTTAGCATCGAAAAGACTCGAAGCTGACGAAAAATTGCACAATCTGCATGGAATATCGGTTGCACGTTAAACAAGGCGCAATGGGGAAGGTTGAAGTTGTGGACTTGGGAGATCGAGTAAACTTGCGCTGTGTGAAGCTCGCTTTAGACTCGCTCAGCGCGAGCTGTAATTTGCTGCGGAATTTACCGTCGAGTCGAGTTTTATTTGCGAAGGAACGCACGAGGTTCGGAATTACATTTGCAAATTTATACGTACGCTTATACGCTTCGATTCTTCTTCCATTGTTGCTGCGTCGTACGGCGTTGTATCGTACGTAAACAAATGCACAACAACGGAGTCCTATCGTGAGTTACAAATAGTCCAGAGTCAGCTTATTGTAATAACAAATTGCTGCGGTCTCTCTAAGCATTTTCGCTTTTATTACAATATTCCGGAAGATAATATCTTGGGACATTCACTCCGAAATCTCTGTGCATCTCTCTTTCGAAACGTTATTATAATATTCTATTTTGGTTTCCGCTTCCCGATATTATCTATATGAAAAGCTTTTTTGTATATCTCGAATACAAGCGAGATGAACGAAACGTCGTTCGTGGTTTGCGGCTGGCGACGCGATTGGTCGTTACGTCGCTATCTTTATTTGAAGATAACTGCAAGAATAGCCAGAGTAACAACCGTCGATCGCCGGCGACTCTTACAGTTCATTTCGCTCCAGTTCCCGTTCATACGGCGCTTACATGTTTGTTAATTTTGATTTCCGACTTAATTTGCGGTGTCTTTCTCGTCGACGCCGGGCAGATCACCCGACGCGATTGTGATGAAACGAGATAAGATCAGCTGGATATTCAATCTGTATCGAGGAAGCCGTAGACATATTGGCGATTACAACTGGAATCACGAATCATATCCGTGCTTATCAATAATCAAAGAGTCACGGTTAACGGCAACATGTACGCGCTCGGACGATTTACGCGGTTATTAATATCACCTCTGTATGTGTGTGTGTGTATAACTCGCGTGTACGTGTCTCTAATCTCGTTAATTTAGATTAAAAAATCGCCGCGAGAAATTGCACGTTTCAACGTAATTCTAAGAACGATCCAGACTAGCGGATTCCTATTTCTCTCTCTCTCTCTCTCTCTCTTTGTTTGTCTCTTGAAAGTCGCGGTGAAACAGAAATTTCGGCCACGGCTGGATCCTTCATGGCGGGAGAAGTCGGATATTCTATTAATAATTCATAGTCACCTCGGTGTGTGCTAGTTGTACTCGCGAAAAACCGCAAACAACTTGGTCGCGAAATACGGTTGCGAAATACGGCAATCTTTGACGCGTTACTGCCGTACGCGGTGTTGACGATCCTGTTTGTTCTCGTCCATTAATCTCCGTCCCGGGGTAAATACGGCGATTCCACGGAAATCGCTGTTGCTCGTATTCAACTTTGCGCATATTTGCCTCCTTCTCTCTGTCAAGTCTCAACGGATCTTCCGGATATGTCGTGCAACATAAATTGATAAACATTGTAAAGACGATCAGGGAGTTTGCGCGTCGCCTCGCGTCGTGACTTGTTTGACTACGCGCGGCGAATCTCGTCTCCGTCATAGAGGGGGGTGGGGGGGCGAAGGCCACTTGATTTAAGCTCACAGATATGATTTTTATTATTGCCAGCTTTATCTCTGTTTATTTTGCAAAGTAGCGTCTTGTCGGTGCGGCCAACAGAAAAAATAAAACACCTGCCGACTCTTTCATCTCGGCCGTTTAATGGTTCGTTATCAGCTCTCTCTCTCTCTCTCTCTCTCTCTCTCGCGCGCGCACATGCGCGCGCGCGCGCGCGCGCATACCATATTTCTCTCATAATAAATTATAAACGTCTCCGAGGACTTTAACACTAACCAGTGCCGTCCGTGCGATAACAAACCGCAAAGCGCTGCAATAATACTTGACAAATATACAAGAAACTAAATTTATCCGCGAATCGAACTGCTTGATTTTCCTTCGCTTTGTGCTGTATTATTAATTTCGAAACGTCCACGCGCCCCGCCTTGCGAAGTGTTCCTTCTCACATTAGCAGCGAACCGCTTCTCTTTCCAACGCTCGCTCTCTCTCTCTCTCTCTCTCTCTCTCTCTCTCTCTCTCTCTCTCTCTCTCTCTCTCTCTCTCTCTCTCTCTCTCTCTCTCCTCTCTCTCTCTCTCTCTCTCCGTGCAATCTTCCACTTCATTTTTCCGCGCACACGCGCGAATATTTAAACCGTGTCTGGCGAGCGGCATGATTTATTTGCGTATATTCTCCTCGGTCAGGAGAAGCGGTCATAAATTATCCGGGAATAGTGCGGGTATTCAGAGCATTGCGAAGGGGCATTTGACCCCGAAAGCAAAGCGGCCGAATCTCACGCGTGCCATGCAGAATAGATAAACGTATCGTTTCGAGGATTATCAGGAACAAATCTGAGCGTTACAGTTTGCGAAGAACGAAGCAGAAGACAAATCGTGTATTTACCTACCTCGCGGAGATACGGCACACAGAACGGGCGGTGCCCGGCACCTGGTGCTCCAACTGGGAAAATAAAACAAATAAAATCGCGTTGTTCGCGGCGCGTTCGGATTGTTCCGTCACCGTTTCTGAAATCCTCGATCCGTCCCGAGAATCGTTTCGCTCTGCCTCGGAACACACGTCCACGTGGTCGGAATCGGGTCAGCGTCCTGTGAACTCGTTGCCTCTTTGTGTTCTATTTAAATCGAGCGAGAGCCCTAATGAGTACGACGCGCGGTCAAGATCAGGGCCGTGCGTCTCGCGAGCGGTGCACGTCGCCGTCTTTGTTCTTAGCCGGCGGCGAATTGTCCGCACAGTGTCGACTAATAAACAACAGCACGGCGCACGGCGTCATGGAAGATTCCGCCTCGCCTCGCGGGATAACAGTACAGAGCGAATTCGGGCCCGAGGGGGCGACCGATGCGTCACGCTGTTATTTCGAAGGAAACGTCACATGCGCTTTTGGTGCGACACGATATCTCTCTGTCGTCATGCCTGAATTATCATCGACGATCTCGGCGACCCCGAAGTGTCGCGTGCGCGCGACAGAGACAGCGAGACGAAGTAGCGGTATCGAATTTTCGTTATCGAGCGTCCGCCTGAAGAAAGCAAACATCTCGAGTCAACATCCGCGTCTCAATCGCGTTTTCTTCTCGGATAGCGTTTCGATGCGCATCGAGACGCACTTTGCTGATGAACGGGCGTGACACCCGGTGTTTGACGATTAAGATAAATGTCCCAGCAACCGGACGTTTAATTTGTCCCAGTGTCTGATCGCGATTAGAAAATGAGTATATGCCAACGAGAAATGATATAAATATAGATACTATACGAATATATGAATAAATGAATATATGAATGTAGATCTCTTGATGAATTTATCAACGATTGACCATTACTTCGCCAAATCATACGGGTGCATACTTATTCAATTGATTTTTATTTTAATACAAAAGTATCAAATTGTATATCGAATATCTTTCCCCAACTCGTAAAATATTCCGAAGTTTTTTCTACAATAATCATTACTTTCATTCATTATTGTTAAAATAAATGGTAAATATTTTTTTCAAAGTGGTCGGATAAAGTGGGACGTTACTTTATTATGAATTTACGTTTAATCGGCCGGGGCTGACGCCGTGACGGCGTGAAGCGCACCGATGATTGTTGGCGAGATACATCGGCGCGTCTCGAAATAACCGTATCCGCGGTAGTCGTCTCTAATTGCACTTCCGCGAATCATTACCGCGAATCTCGCGCGCACGATCAGAGCGCACGCGATCTCCCGCGCATAGGCGATGTGTCCGACACACGTGCCTACGTGATCGTTCTCAGGCAGTCGCCATTGGGATCTCTTTGTTCGAACGATGCTGAAGCCCGAAGTCGTCCTGGGGAGTATTTCCAAGTTGCTTGGTGGCGTACGTGACTCGGCTCACGCGAGAGTCGCCTCTCTTCTGTCCTTTCCAAACTACCTCTCTCGTCATCATACTTTTACTTGCAAGTTGCACAGCTGTCGACGCTGATCACACTGATTCGCGGCCAAAGTCGTTGAACAATGCGCGAAATTCGAAGCAGATCAGAATGTCCCGGCGCTTCTCTCGCGACGACACGAATTTTCGCATGCTTTTGCTTCGCCCGGCCTGTCCTTGACGGGTGCTTTCATCCCGAGAGAATTTCCAATTTCTTTCTTTCCAAGAAGAGAATTAGAA